GGCCCCCGCCGGCGGCTGCCGCAACGCAGAACAGCGGCGTCGACCTCTTCCTGTCACGTGACAGGGTCCGGAAACACCGCAGCCCACTGGGAGGGGCCTCAGGGCTGCCGCGTCTCAAGAGGGCGACCCCTGCCGGCAGGAGGGACAACAGCCCGGCCACCGCCGCGCTCTGCGAGGAACTGGGCGGGGAAACGGTGGAACGAGCCAATAGGAGCTCAGGCATGAGGCAGAGGGCTCACCTGTGGAGGAGATGGGGGGCAGCTGATCTGGGACTGTGGGATCCGGAGATGTCATTATTCCCCTTTATTCGGCTTTGGTGAGGCCACATCTGGAGTATTGTGTCCAGTTCTGGGCCCCCCACTACAAAAAGGATGTGGACGCATTGGAGAGGGTACAGTGGAGGGCGACTAACATGATTAGGCGCCTGGAGTGCATGACTTATGAGGAAAGACTGAAGGATTTGGGTTTGTTTAGTCTGCAGAAGCGAAGAGTGAGGGGGCATTTGATAGCAGCCTTCAACTTCCTGAAGGGAGAGGGCCAGATTGGATATTAGGAAAAACTATTTTACTAGGAGGGTAGTGAAGCATTGGAATGGGTTACCTAGGGAAGTAGTGGAGTCTCCATCCCTAGAGGTGTTTAAGTCTCGGCTTGACAAAGCCCTGGCCGGGTTGATTTAGATGGGATTGGTCCTGCCTAGAGCGGAGGGCTGGACTTGACGACCTTCTGAGGTCTCTTCCAGTTCTGATTCTATGATAAGGGGATGGTTGGATGAAATAACATGATCTTGGTAACTAATTGACCATTCATTTCCAGTTGGAAATAGGTCAATGGAGGGATGATAGGAGTTGCTATAGGGAACTTTCTGGGTGTCTGGCTGGTGAGTCTTGCCCACATGCTCAGGGTTTAGCTGATCGCCATATTTGGGGTCAGGAAGGAATTTTCCTCCAGGGTAGATTGGCAGAGGCCCTGGAGGTTTTTCGCCTTCCTCTGTAGCATTGGGCACAGATCACAGCTGAAGGACTCTCTGCATGTTGGGTCCTTCAAAGTATTTGAATGCTTCAATATCTTTGATATAGGTGAGAGGATTATTCTAAGAGGGGTGGTTGAGATTCTGTGGCCTGCACTGTGCAGGGGGTCAGACTAGATGATCATAATGGTCCCTTCTGACCTTAAAGTCTATGAGTCTATGAGGCGGCAGGCTCATTAACTCCTGTGGTGTGCATGGGGAGAGTGGAGCAACGTGGGTCATCAGAGTCGGGCCCCCAAAGCACCTGACAGCAGAATTACATTTTAAAATGTATGTTTTAACATTTATCTTTCTGCTGACTAGAATCCCTTTGGCAGGTGATCTGGGGATGCAGCCTGACTCCAGAGAGAATTCAGCAGCCTGACTCCAGAGAGAATTGCCCTCTACTTCTCACTGACGGGGTTAATTCAGTGCAAATGGTATGTAAAATACTATTAGTCTCATTCCTTATGCAGAGCTTTACCTGAAAATATGGAGATAAAGTGCCTGGTCCCAATGAGTTTGCAACCAGGTAGACAAAACACCAAATGATGGTTCTAAGTAGGATGCAACAAAAGCAAACGTTGATTGCATATTGAGGTATATGATGTTTGTGTATGGCTTTGTGATGGAGACAGCTAAAAGATTTTATAATTTTTTTAAAAAATTGGGGATATTTTTGTTTTGGAAGTAACATTAATTACTACAGCTGTCAGTTGCAGTTAACTCTTGATTAGAATTGTGACCAAGCAGAATTTATTTTTTAGTTAATCACACTGTTAAACTATAGAATACCAATTGAAATGTATTAAATTTTTGGCATTTTTCTACATTTTAATACATATTGATTTAAATTACAATACAGAATACAATTGTGATCACAAGAAGTCCTCGCTATTCATGGGGCGATATGTTCTTGAGATCCCTGCAAATGACAATATCTGTGAATACTGGAGTGGGAGTATTTGCGACACAAAATAACACATTGTCTGAGTAGTAAATTCACTTTACATTAAGTCCCATAACCCCAATTTCAGATAAGTAAAGGCCAAGTGGCTCACCTTACACATAATGGAAAAGCAGACATATCTGGAATTGAAAGCGGAAGTTATTTAATAGTACTTTGCAAAACCACCCAAGAGTTTTGGATAAGAAATGAAGAAATCCATAGCCTATTAAAACTGCAAGGAATTACCTGATTTGGAATTTATTCATTACTTCAGAATAAATACCCCTTCTTTTGCAAAAAGTATCAATGAAATTTTAGTAACCAGAAAGGTTCAGGACTTTGGTTTTACACTTAAGCAAAAGGCATCTCCAGCAGCTCCATGTACTCGAGCACCAGTACTAATTCAGAGGAAAATGGGACACAGAAGCACTAACATCTGCAACATCTACAGTTTGGATTTTGACCTTTCAAAGAAAGACTCAGCTCAGGCATGCACAGCTAATTAGATCTGATAGGATCACAACACACAATGATACAGTGAGAGATTGTGTTTAAATTCTGCCTGACATTGGCATATAACTCCCATCAACCTTGAAAGAGGAGATTGCAATTTGGTCTATACTGTGAGTGAGCTTCTCTTCGTGGTCAATAAACCTCATTCACATTTAGCAGCAGTTGCATAAATTATCATAGAAATATAGGGCTGAAAGAGACCCTGGAAGGTCATTAATTCCTCTGTGCTGATGTAGGACCATATACATTTTCAACATCCCTGACAGGTATTTGTCCAGCATGTTCTTAAAATTTTCCAGTGACAGGGGGTGCCACAATCTTCCATGGAAACCTAGTCCAGAGCTTAAATCTCCTGAGGGTTAGAAAGTTTTCCCTAATATCCAACCTGAGTTTCCCTTGCCACAGATTAGCCCATTACTTCTTGACCTACCCCCAGTAGACATAAAATCATATTCTCACAGCTCTGCAAGTCTCTCACACATGAAGAAATGAGATACGACTGAGATTCTTGCAAGTTACTGGCAGTCAATATTGAAGTACCAAGGGACGTGCTTCTAGGTGGATATATATTACATTTGTAACTCATAAAACAATATACTGTGTACTTCTTCTGTAATGTATCATTCATGAGGGGCAAGGTTAAAAGAAAATTTACAATCTGATAATTTCTCACTCTAACCACAAAATATAACTGTCTCTCGTAGGATCTATAGCAGACTGGATAAAGTGCCTGTAAAAGATTGTATAGAATTTGTATGCAGCTTTAGCAGCATATTACTTATAAAATCACTTTTTAAAATTCCCAGATTTTCTGTCTTATTTCTATTGCCACAAAACCAAAAGAACAATGTTAAGAATTAATTAATACACTGGGTTACATCTTTTAACACACACATTATGAGAGTCTCTTTTAAGGCATGCATAACACTTTCACCTCTCCTCTCATGCTCTCATTCCATAAGTGGACTGAGGGACCCTTACATTTTGCTATACTAATTTTAACTCTGCCCCTTGTGACAGTGTGTTCTTTGATAACATAAAACAGCCTTCAGTTTATGTTGGAAGAAGAAATGAGGAGGTCTTTAATTTATTTTGTGGAAATACATGGAGGTGGAGTATCCAGATGACAGGAAAAAGAATAGTGGAGGGGAGAGCTCTGGGCTATCCCAGGAGTGGAGGTAACATGACATAAATTGGATCTCATCTGCAATAGGAACAAGGACCTAAAATAAGACTGGTCAGGGCAACCTGAACTCTTCCATTGTCCAATTCATTTCAAATAAGGTAGAAATATTCTATCGCAATCTATGTCTTACAGATTTTAGCCTACTAAGCCTTTGTGGGTTTTAGAGGAGAGAATGGCAATGGAATTGGCTTATCATGGAAATACAGTTGTAACCTGAACTATCGAATAGCTGAAGAGACAAAATTTCTCAATACTTTAAATGACTACTTCTTGGAGCAGTTGGTATAGGAACCCACAAGGGGAGAGGCAATTCTCGATTTAGTCCTGAAATGTGAAAGTGCAGAACTATAAACTATGATTTGTAACCTATCCTTTAAAACAGCTTCAGTACACATGACTAGAAGGGCAACTAAAATGATTAGGGGTTTAGAATGGGTCCCATATGAGGAAAGATTAAAGAGACTAGGACTTTTCATCTTAGAAAAGAGGAGACTAAGGGAGGACATGATATAGGTCTATAAAATCATGAGTGGTGAATAAGGAAAGTGAACAAGGAAAAATTATTTACTTGTTCCCATAATATAAGAACTAGGGGCCACCAAATGAAATTAATGACCAGCAGGTTTAAAACAAATAAAAGGAAGTTCTTCTTCACAGAGCGTACAGTCAACCTGTGGAACTCCTTGCCTGAGGAAGTTGTGAAGGCTAGGACTATAACAGGGTTTAAAAGAGAACTAGATAAATTCATGGAAGTTAAGTCCATTAATGGCTGTTAGCCAGGATGGGTAAGGAATGGTGTCTCTAGCCTCTGTTTGTTAGAGGGTGGAGATAGGTGGCAGGAGAGAGATGGCTTGATCATTACCTGTTCGGTTCACTCCCTTGGGCACCTGGCATTGGCCACTGTCAGCAGACAGGATACTGGACTGGATGGACCTTTGGTATGACCCAGTATGGCCGGTCTTATGTTCTTATGTTATGTTTTTATGATGTAGCCCCATATTAGTATTTGTATTAATTTCAAATACAAAGATAGTTTAGTTAGCAGAGAGCAAAAAATACGCACAAACATTTTCAACACAAAAGGAATACCTCCCCTCATTGTTTTTCTATCTTTAAGTTAAATGCTAATTTAATTCCCTTCAAAATTTATAAGAAAATGCTTTTACTGATTTGATGAAAAATTTCACACTAAAATTATTTTATATAAAAAATAAGGAATTGAAATTATAACCTCTGCTATAATTTTTTGCATAAATTTAACTATAGAATCACTAGCATCATGCTATAACATATGAAAACTTAATAGAAAGAGAATGACTTAAAACTTTAAACAGATTGGCTTCCATGTTTACTTTCAATCTGACTTAATCATATACTGTTATTACTGACAAATGAATGAGTGAGAATTATTCCATGCTCATGGATCAGACTGCACTCTCTCTGGAGAGTGAGGAATACGGGAGGAGCCATGAGGTTCACTTTTGGGGATTTCCTACAAATCTTTTTCTCAAGTGACTGAAGGAGAAGGGAACTTCAAATTCTATGGACAAAAACTCCACTGCACTGATTCTCTAACATCCCCCTTTTCCTGGCAGACTCGCTCATGCACGGGCGGCCTGTGAACCTAGGCAAACTAGGCAGTTGCCTAGGGCACCACCGGCCCAGGCGCCCCGTGATTACATCATGGACATTGACGGCCATGCAGGCGGGGGCGCCGATCGCTCCTTCCGCCTAGGATGCCAGCTGCCGCAGCTGGCATAGGGCCGCTCCCGAGCTCCTGTAGGTACAATATTGCTATTGACCAGATCACACCATTTCAGCCCTTCTCTGCTTCCTGGTCTCTCCAACCCCCCAAACAGATATCCCCTGGGATGTGAATCCTGAAAGCCTGAGCAATCCTATTCTCAAGGGCTATGTCTACACTGCCAGCTTTTTACGCAAGAACGGTAGTTCTTGTGCAAAAACTTGCGGAGCGTCTACACTGCACGCGCATTCTTGTGCAAGTAAATTTACAGTAAAGCATCGGAAAAGAGGGCTTCTTGCACAAGAGTCATTCCTCTCCCCATGAGGAATAAGCCCTCTTGTGCAAGAGCTGTTGCACAAGAAGGCAGTGTGGACGGGCAACAGGGGTTTCTTGCACAAGAGAGCATCCATACTGCCATGGATGCTCTTGTGCAAAGGCATATCTCTTGCACAAACACACATGGCAGTGCATATGCACTCTTGCACAAGACTTTTACGCAAGAACTCTTGTGCCAAACAATTCTTGCGCAAAAAGTCTGCAGGGTAGACGTAGCCAAGAAGAATCCATATCAGGTCTTCTGTGCAAAGAAACTCTTGGGGCCTGATCCTGTTTCACAGAAATCAGTAGCAAAACTTTTAAGTTGACTTTAGTGGAAACAAAACGGGAGCCTTAAACACTACATAGTTCTTTAACATAACTCTTTTTAAATACATGGAGAAGATGGTGTAAATTAGCATGCTACACTGATTTCAGTGTAACATCAAATTATAGCATTTGAAGATCTGGCCCTATGTAAGCTTCTTACTGATATTTAAAGTTTGTATGTGTCAAGGTGGATAGGAAATGTGTAAATAATGTAGACAGACAGAGGAGAGAGAAAATATTATGTAAATAAATGTTTAAAATTGTGCCAAAGTTCTTTTGTCTTATTTAGGCGGGCCTTTGTACATAAGCTCAGTTCCAATATTAGCTTAAAAAATAAAACTTCTCATGAAAAAAAAAAAACCTTTCCTCTAAAGCAGCTGGTCCTAGTGTCAGAGACTAGACATGATGGATCATGGGTATGGCAGTTTTTATGTTCAAAGGGTTGTACAGATGGGGTCCAAAGCACTAACTCTCTCCTCATTTTGGGAAACAATGTTTTTCTCCTTTAAATTCCTTTTTATCCTCTTCACCACCAGTGTTCCCTCTAACTTTTTCCATCCATGGGCAGAATACATTTTGTTATGTGCACCAAGATATTTGCGGATGTGCACCACCAGTAGAAAAACATACTGTGGGCATTCTGGGTGTTCTGCTAATCAGCTGTTTGGCACTGAATCTCTCCTGGGTGGTGGCCAAAGCACTCAGCTCACAGGGAACACTGCTCACCAGTGAAAGCCTTTCGTCAGAATTATACAAACGCCTTTCTGTAGATCAGCAACTTTGAGAGATTGCTACTATAAGGCTGCATCTACACTGGCATGATTTTGTGCAAATACTTTTAACAGAAAAGTTTTTCCTTTAAAAGTATTTGCGCAAGAGAGCGTCTATACTAGTGTGACAGCCTGTCACTGATCGGGGGGCGGGGCGGTCGGAGCCCCGGTCGGCAGGAAGCCGACGCTCGGGAGCGGACTCCCCGGCGGTCCCCCCGCGCTAGCCGGAGGCGGCGGGGGGGGGGG